GGGGGGGCGGGTTGGGAAAAACTGCTGCGGAGAAGCCCGGGGGGGCTTTAAAAACGTAGAAATTGTAAGCGGCCCTATTTTGTTTACTGCCTCGCGGAATTGGATAAAGCAGATTAGCCCGGTGTAATACGGGTAGACCGAGTTTCACCTTATCGCCGCCCGCTCTCCCGCCTCCTCCCGCCAGCCCCCTTTGTCCTTTTGTGTCTATTTTTGGTGTGATGCTGCAGACGCCACGTGGTCAGTGAAAGGGAGCTTGCCTCCGTAAACAGTCAGCTGATGGGGCTGTGTTATTCCTTACAACAAAACACCACAGCCTGATGGGCCAAGTCTGTGGATGGTGTAACCCCACAGATGACCTGAAATTACACCACTAGTGGCTTTGGCCCATAAGAAATTTAGAGTATGTTTTTGGTGGGTTTTTTTCTTTTTTTATTCCCAAGTGGCAAGTTTATGAATTTAATTTAGTTCTGCTAGAAGGAGCTGAACAATGGGGAAGCACTCTAAACCCTGATTTTTTTTTTTATTTTTTTCCTTCCCCTGCTTTTAGGAACGAGAGTATACAGCCCTCCGGAGTGGATCAGATACCACAGATACCATGGGAGGTCAGCAACAGTATGGTCTCTGGGAGTTCTGCTGTATGATATGGTTTGTGGAGACATCCCTTTTGAGCAAGATGAGGAAATCTTGAGGGGACGATTATACTTCAGGAGAAGAATCTCACCTGGTGAGTTCTATAGGGGTCAAGTGGAGGCTTTTTTCCTTATTTTTAAATAGTCCTGTACATTTGAGTTTGTACAATTTTTCTTATTCAAGGTTGTTTTTTTACCTTCCTAGTCTAAAATTTCTTGTTTGTTTGTTACAGAATGTCAACAGCTGATCAAATGGTGCCTTTCACTGAGGCCTTCAGACAGACCAACACTTGAGCAAATTTTTGACCATCAATGGATGCACAAATCTGAAGTAGTGAAGTCTGAAGACTGTGATATAAGGCTACGGACCCTTGATACTGATGTATCTAGCACAAGTTCAAGTAATGAGAGTCTGTGAATTACTAAGGACCTCGCACTGGGAGGGGAGCTACAAGCAGAAAGACCACAGTGCTGCTGCCAATACGTAGGAGGGGCTAGAAAAATGCATTCATTATTCTGTAGTTGAATCTTTGTCTGAGGGACTTGATTTTATTTTCCCCCTTTGCTGGTTTCTGCTTTGGAATGAGAGATTTCCTTTGGAAACGCTGATGTTTGGGAGTTGCAGGCCAGTACTTAGTCAAAGACTGACCTTATTAAGAAAGCAGTGACCTCTTGAATACATGGTAAACTTTTTTGCTCTCATAGAGCCTGGACTAGATTTTATTTGCTTTTGAGTGCCTTTTTGAAAGCTGCTTCAGTGGGACTTTCTTTTTTGAGCTGTGTATGTCCAAAGAAGATCCAGTTCATTATAGGAAATTGCTCCCTTTAGACTCAGTGCTGGAGGAAGCAGCTCCTATGATGCATTGGAGAACATGTTCAGTGATTGAATGAAGTAGTCCCATCCACTGGTGATGGAATACTTGAACACAGACATTTCACTCCCGCCCCTGGCCCTTTCCAAATCCAGCCCACCTCTGCTGCTCAAAATATTTCCTATAGCCTGCACAGAAATATGAACAGGTATATCAGCTTTTTTATCAAAAACATTTATTCATGTTTCCTTTTATCATCTCTACCACTGGGCATGAGAAGCCCCTTTCTCAACTCCCCCCGGCCTTTTGTCACCCTGCGAGTCTTAAAGTATGTATGGGCATGTCGAATGCACAATCAATGCAATATTCAAGGACTTTACTTTTTTTTTCCATACCTGTATAATGTGTTTATGTAAACTTGTTTTATTTTTTTTTTTTTTTTCCCCATGTGCTATAAAGTTATTTATTGTTTGGAGTTTAGAAGACCTCCCACAGGTTTCAGCTGTGGCTATTTATTTGGTTAATTTATTTGGTTAGAGTTATTCAACACTGTGCTTTCCCCTCCTTCTCCCCATGGGGATTCTAGTGGTTTGCCCATGGCACTTTTTTTCTGCATTCCTGTCAACTTTTCTTAAAAAAAAAAAAAAAAAAAAATCTGACCTTATCAATTTTTGTTGGAAGTTGGAAAATTGTTGTACAAAGTCTAATTTAAGGGAAATAGAATGACTTTAAAGTTAGTCAGTATGCCTTTTGTCTGGTATTATTATACCAGAAATGTAAAGTAATGCTGTTTGGAAGGGTTTTAAATTATTGACATTGTATAGTCTCCGTGCATTGGCTCTGGAAGGTAGAGTGGCAGAGTCATAAACCTTAATTTATTTTAATAGCTGTGTTTCTGTGATCTGGTTGCATTTATGCAGCTTGGATTTGGATTTTTTTTCTTCTGTTTAACAGTGTGAAATGTATGGAGATCATATTTTTTATACAGGTATTTCAATTAAACTTTTTTTGTATATAACAGTTCTGTGTTTGTGTGATCACTTTTATCTTCAGCTTTACTCTTGATGCCAACTGGGGAAACACATGTTTTGTTACCTTCTCTATCTTGTAAAAGCCTGCTGCAGCTAACCTGGAGTTAATGGGTCTGTGCCATTAAGCAGTGACCATTTTGGAAGAATTAAGCAATCCATCTTGACTGTGTCTACTTTTCCATCACTGTATTTGATGTTGAACTGGAGGTGGTGTGCAATACAATACAGCACTAATGGCCTACATAGAGGGGAATTGACCAGTAATTGTGGGGTTTTTAACTCTGTAAACACTGAAATACCGATGTACTCATTGGATAACAATGAAGGATTTTTGATGTACTCATTGTCCTTCGGTATAATACTGAAGGATTTTTGTAGTCACTGGTGGTTACAGTTTTCACAGTTGGGTTTTACCAGTTGATGTGGTAAAACATGTCAACTGGTTTCCATTGCATTCAGTTTCCTTCCTCCCGGGGGTGGATGAGATTTCCTGTGCACTTACAGGAAAAGGACAGATTCTTCGAGAGCGAAGTGACTGTTTTCCTTCAGCTCCCTTAGACTATCAAAACAGAGTGGAGTGTCACTTTGTAAAGACCTGGGGAATATGTTCTGTTCCTGTCCATAGCAAAGGGCAAGAGAAATGTCCTCAGCATTTGTCTTGGTGCATTGGAAGCCAAGGCCTGCAGATTACTGAGTTCATCCTGGTTTCTCTGCAGATAGAGACTGACCTGACTTGGTCTTTTTGCAGGGGTGGCAGTGATTACTAGGTTTAACTACCACAGAGGGGTCTACAAAGTATGTTTAAGGATGTGTTCAGTCATTAAATGTGTTTTGTAGGAATCACAGTAAAGGGCTAGGCTTAGAATCTGTTGGTTTTATGTGTTATTTCCCTTTCTGGAGATTTTTCTGCCAGCTCATCTACTATTATTTTGGTTCCCTGTGCGGAATATCTTACTTGCTGACATCACATCAAACTACCAGTGCTAACTAGTTCAGACTCAAAATGCCACTGAATAGCAGGAGGTAAAGCTGAAGGAGAAAGACCAGTTTTGTGCATGTAGTTTTCTGATGACATGGGAGGTGCGTAGCTTTTTCTTGGCCATGAAAAGGAAGTTCAAATGACTCATCGGGGGGGGGGGGAAACAAACACAATTGTGTTCATTAATTTGTCTGTTTTCTGGCTTTGTTCATTTTAGGGTTGTTTCTCCAGTTTTTGATCAAAATCTGTATGTATGCTAAACCTAGTCCCTGGGGAAGTGACATGTACATGAAAGTGCCTATAGTTGGAACTCCATTCACAGAAATAAAGGATTTTACAGTTAAGATCGCATAGGAAAATCGCACAATTATGCCCTAAGAAAGAATGCTTAAAAATGAAGTTTGGGAGTTTTGATTATGTCTTTGCTTAAAAGGAGGGACTCCAATAAGCTACAGGAGAGATGATCCCAGTGCAGTTCTTCAGGGAAACACGTTTCTAACTACAAGTAGTCCCTGGAGAAATTCCAGTAGCTGATGATAATTAACATCTTCCACTCCAGTGGCTTCGCATGCTTGCAGCTGTTGAGAGGGGTGGTAGCAAGGCCGTACGGGTGAGCTTCAAAGGGCTACCAGAGAAGCAAGTCTAAAAATACATTTGTAAAGCTATTGGTTGCTGAACTAGGGACTTTCAACATTTCCACAGGAGCGTACGTTACTTTCCTTAGTTTTATAAATGCTGTTGAAGCGGTCTGTTTTGCAACATAAAAACTAGGTTTTCACCTTTTGCTACTGAGGCAAAATGCATTAAAAGGATAAAGGTCAAAAGGACTCAGGCAGGAGTGCTGACTCCCCTCTGGGATTAGTTCAACATAAAAGATACACTTTCAGTACTGCACAGGCAGCTTTAGTTGTGAAATTCCCCTGTACACTAATAGAAGCCACGTGGCTGAAACACCGTATACCGAAAGTAATGATTTGTAAAAATAGCTTTTCATTACAGTTGAAAGTTGGGAAAATGATGTGTTAATATAATTCCATTAGCTGAATGTTACTGTCAAAATGAGCAAGTTGGTGACAGCTCTGGGTTTCTCCTGTGCTTCTATCTGTTATTTTAATATTATTAAATGTTACTTCTCTGGGATCCTCCTCTTCAAACTCTTTCCACACTAGGCTGGTTTTCAACAGCACAAAGCTTGAATAGAATTCTGCAGGTCATTCAAAATACCACTGTTTAAATCACAACCTGTTTTAACCTTGACAAATTGATTTAGCTATGATCATACCTATGCATGTATGTATGCTACTGGCTTGATATTGATATTGATATATTTTGTATTTTTAATATATTCTGATGATGAAAGATCTTTAACGATATAGCATTTTGTATAATTCATAATAAATGAATGCTTAATAAAACTCATTCTCCTCTGTGCAAAAGCATACACTTGCTTTTTGTTTTAAGCAATCTGAGCTTGTATTTACTGAAGCAACCAAACAAGAGCCCTTTGAACAAAATTATCAGAAGGATATTAGAAAGATTGATGAGGATGCGTACTCACCAAGCACTTATGGTTCTCTGTCAGTGGTTTACTGACCTCTGTTGGTGAAGTTAAAGCATATGTTCAGAAAATAATGATGCATAAATTGGGAAGAGAGATTTTAAAACACTGCTGACTGGTATTTTTAGATATAGAAGACTATGGCTAATGCTTAAATATTCCACAATGTTTGAAAAGCTACAATTACAAAAAGAAAAACAATAATTAAGATACTGCAAATATGAAAATAGCTTTTCAATACAGATAGGAGAGGGGAGTAAGAATTCAGAAGATTGTCCACTCTGCATCTGAAGTCACAGGGGTATCCTGCCTAGTGAGCCCCCAGTCGCTTACATGACTCCTGGCTGTGAACATTTACAAGCCTATTAGCCCTCATTCTTCCACTTCATTTCTGTCACGATGAGAACCACTTTTCTTATGGCACATAGATGGGCAAAAATTCTCAGCAGTGTAACTACATAACATGATGGAATATTGTGGCCCTGTCAGCTTATTATTAGTGGATTATTTCTGCTAGCAGTAGTGATACTACTGTTGGTGGCAGCAGTCAGGATGGTGGCACTTTAATTTAATTGCAATATACATTTTTTTCTGATAATGTACTGAAGTTTGTTATACTTGTAAATTTGCAATTGCTTAGTTTCATGGTTATCTGTGATATAAAAGTTTAATACGTTTTCACCTAAGGAGTTCCTTCAGATAGCTGATATACCAGACACATTAATCTTTGGTTATATTGTAAACTGCTGAACAAAGTGATAAGGAGACCACAAACTCGTGCAACTAAAAATAAATTTAAATCTCTATTAAAACAGGTTTCCTAATTAATTTCAGAGAATGTTTGTCCCAAAACCGATGGAACCATGTAAAGCAATAAAAAATGTGGGGATAGAAACACACTAGGCTTTATTTTTGCTGAAGACAAGTTACACTAGAGAACTGCAGAACTGGGGTCTAACTCAAGGCAAAATGAGGAGCAGTAACACAAATACATTAAGTTCTTGCAGAGATTTTCTTAGCTAGCAATCCCTCTCCTTCTGTTCCAATAAATTTTAAAAGTACTCAATTTTTTGTGTCCTTTGCAGCTCATAATCTTACTATTATTTGCAATATGGCCTGGCACACTCAAGTTTTAAGAAACGTTAAGTGGTTTCCAAATAGCTGTTAAAATTTGCATATTTATATTTCAGATGCTAGGATTTCCCTTTTCTTAAAAACACCGTGAAGGAAATTACTTGCCTACGGAAGCATTATGGTTACATAATAATATAAATTCAATATAGGTCTCAGATTAGCTGTATTTAAGCTCCAATTAATATGGTCTTAGTAAGAATGTTATCTATTATAGCTAATACTCTGCTAATTGACTACACAAACCATTATGTAAAAAGCTGCTTATACTAGTCCAGTAAGAGAATTAGTGAGACACATACTTTAACTTGCACTCTTTCTCAGGTAAGTCTGTGTTAAACCTTGAAATTACAATTAAGTCATAGGCGTCAAAGCATCCTGTGGATCAATATGCTTCTTTGCTTACTATTAATGATTCAGCAATTACTTTAACTCTCCAGTCAGGAGTAATGAAAGATTAGAGCAAATTATTCTGAAAACCGAAGGGTGTTTTGCTCCCTTCTGTGCAGAATTCAGAAAAAAAAGTTTTATCTCTTCATGAATCATTGTCTGTGTAATAGCTAGTTGGAAAATAATATGTATATATTCTAGTGAAAAAAAAATGCTGTTTTGTTGAAATAAAAAAGTTTTGCTTGCAACACCTGTTTTGGTCATTATAGATGGTCTGGTTTCAGGGTTGAAGTTTGTCTATCCACTTTTCTGCTTGTCTTTTACTAGGCCAGGAACATATAAGCACTAAATATCAGCCTCCTCCAGATGAAATATATAAATACATTAACAAGCACATGTTATAAAAGGTTGGAAGAGTAATCCCCTAGATGGTTTTATTTTAGCCAAAAGTTTCCAAACCTAATAGTGTCACGAAAGGGAAGTCTCTTTCAAGATCATCTAAAGGGAAAATGTCCATTAATCGGGGGGAAATGCTCCCATGTTCAGTCTCTGTGCAAGGTTTTTTCTGTTTTTTTAAATGCCTATGTAATAGCAAAAGCCTTACAATATACAGATTTACATCAACATAGAAAAGCATAACAGATTTCAGCTTTCCAGAGGTAATTTGTCTGTTGTCCAAGCAGAGGTAAATAGATAACAAACTTAATCCACTGGAAGACGGATTAAGTTGTGGTAAGGAGGAGCCTTGTATCTGTAAGGATAGCTGAACACCAGAGCAAACTGACTGTGGAGCGAATAATCATTTTTAGAAAAAAGCAGTTTTCTTAAATCACCTAGAAATGACAGATGATTTAAAAATACTTTGGATTTCATCAGCCTAATGCTCATGAGTTAACAAAAAGAGATTTCAGTCCACAATATTCATTCTGCT